GAGAGAGAGAGAGAGAGAGAGAGAGAGAGAGAGAGAGAGAGAGAGAGAGAGAGAGAGAGAGAGAGAGAGAGATACAGAGAGATACAGAGATGAAGCCCGCACTGTCTCTCGTGGTAGGGTTCCTCCCTTTCCTGTCTCCCGTCGTCGCACACGAGGAGAATAGTCCTGGCCGGGCAAGCATTTATGCATAGAAAACGTTGGCTTTGCACATGTGAAACACAACAACCGTCCTATACACCCTGTTTTTTCACAGCTCATGCTTTCGGAAACGGAGGTGGAGTGCGATTCGGTATCGCTGGCACATCTTCACCTCGGCCTGCCCTGGCTTTTGCCCTCTTGCGCAAGCTGCAGTTATTCTTTGAACCCGTCGCTGAAAGTCCTCGCCAGAGAAACACCATAGAAGACGTGGGTTTATGCTCCGAGACTCCAGTGCAATGTGCTGCAAGAAGTGACACTTCTCCGTCGTGGAGAAGAGGGGTGGATCATGGTTGCTGTTGCTGAAGTGTTGGGACAGCTGCTCTTGCAGAAGTAAAAATCCATTCATTGAGTCCCTAAAAGCGGCGGCATCTGCTGCTGACAAGGTGAACTGGAACTTGTTCTCCGCCAAAATCTCCTCCAGCTTGTTGTTCAATTTCAAGAGCAAATGGACTTTCCGGTGAAGCTCGACGGAGTGATTCATTGTGCTCGCCCATATCAAGAATAGCGGCTTCGCCAAAGATCGAACCTCGGCCGCCTTGCCTCGAAGGCCCAAAGCACGGACCTTGGCCCTGAAAAACATTGAGACCTTGTTCAGGTAAAGAAACCGCGATTCCGTACCAAAGGTTCGGTAGTGGATCTGGATTTGCGACCAAACCCAGTCCATGTTCGCCTCTGGGCTGCCGAGATTGAGCACATAAAAAACCAAAAGGAAAAGGACGGAGGAGTACAGCTTTCTGTCCTGCCCCAAATACTTGCAATGCATGTAGTCAAACCCCAAATTGCAGATGCTGGTGGAACTCATATGAAAGAGTGGGCAGGTGGACTTTTCCGCAGCTGGCAGCCCCCGCCAGGAACTGGGACTGTACACCGTGGCTTTCCACGGTGCATTAGGGTGGTAGTTTTGCCAGCTCAAGTGTCCGTATTTCGTCGCCTGGCACCTACAGCACGGTGACGATGCCGATGTCGACCGTGGCAGGTCCAATACACTCGCATAGTAATCGAGGTCACCAACCACGGAAAATAAAGTGCCGCAGAATCCGCCAGCGATCTGTTTGCCGGCTTTTCGCCCTTGGGGGGAGTCCTCGGGGTAGCTGTGTGGAGAAAAACTTGAAAGCACCTTCTACCATGGTTCACACAGTTTCAAGTATATAGTGTTATAGTTCTTCAAACTTGATTTATAACAACAGTTTCCGCATGACATACATAAGCTTTATAACAGACTTGGGAAAGGATCTCCAACAAACTATAGTGGGGACTGTCGTTCTCTAGGCTTCAAGATTCTGTGTTGTTCTAAATCAAGCCGAGATGCACCTGGCCAAAATGGTCAGCTGAAGGCCACACACCTTTAAAGAGAATCTCGAAGCTCCATCGCAGCAGCTGGAGCACATAGTGTGCAGTTCCGGACAAGTCCTTCGCATCGGCTCTCATTTTGTCGTACATAGAGTATATAAAGAAAAGTGCATCCATTGTGGAGGAACCGGTGGTGAGGAGACTGAACCATGAAAAGTTGGTTACTGTTTGGACCCAGGTTTTCCCCAGGCCTGTCACGGGGACCCCGTCCCCGTGACAGGCAAGTGGTATACACCGCTGCTTCCAATTCTTCTTTCTTGTGATGGCACTTGTAACATTGGGGTTCTTGCTCTCCAACATAGCATTCCAAAACTGCTCCAATGTTTCCACACTCGGACAAATGGATTTCTTCCACGTGGCTGGGTAGCTTGAATAAATGCATGAGAAAAGTATGTGGGGTAGCATCATAGCTTGCAAGAGCATGTCCCAAGGGCTCTTGAAGGGGATCTTGTACAAAGACGGTCGTGGAATATGAATGCCTTGAGCAGCAATCTTGTGTACTGCTTGATACACCTTGTTGGAGTAGAAACCGTGCATACCAGCCTCGCCGATCTTCCTGAGCACTGTCAAGTCCCTGTGCATCTCGTAGTCTTCCACACACAAAGCTGCTATGGCTTGGATATCTTGGGCACTCATTTCGCCCCAGGACCACTTATCCAAAAGATGATCCGCCAAACGACTGTTCATGATATCATCTTTGCTTTCCTTCCCTATCTTTGCAACCCTCTGCCTTATGCCTCCACTCCGTGTTCTCTTTCTGGCTCCGGGATCGGCCATGGCACCGTGAAGAACTCACACAGTTCCCATGTCAGCACCTAAACCCCGGCCCGGTATAACCCGAAAGACTTTAAAACTTGAACGTCAGGTGTAGATGGTACATATATAGATGTGTTTACTCTTCGTATAGAGGCTTACTTAAGGATCCCAATGCCTCCTACAACATAGCTTTCAACCCTAAACCCTAAACCGTTCCTGAATCACCGATTACCTTTGATGATATGAAGCCATATTTTTCTGTATATATACATATATGTATATATATATATATATATATATGTTTGCAACCCCTTTGCAATCCCTGCACATGGGTATATACTCGGGAAGCCTCTTTGTGCTTTTCCCCCGCAGCTGCAGGAGATGCGATTATACACACAGACCATGAATGCACAGACACACGATTCAGGCGCTTATATTGGGGGATTGATGTACATTTTTCAATTTATTCAGCTCGAAAGCTTATCATATGACAATGCTCCTCAAAAGCAATCCCTGAATTATCTCAAGGTTTGTTTGATGGTGTTTATAGGCAGTGTATCCATCAAACCCTGAGCGAGAAGGAACCCTGAGCGACATGATCGAGAGAGGGCACCTTGAGCGAGATAGGACACCTTGAGCGAGAAAGGCACACCTGTGCAAGAGCGAACCTTAAGCGAGAATGAACCGCGAGCGAGAGACGTGTGATGTAGACTGAACCTTGAGGGAGAAAGTGAACCCGGAGTGAGAGAGGGAACCCTGAGCGAGGCATGTGTGGCTGCTATATGCAAAGGTTTGGTTTTGTATATATAGGGTTTTGCAAAGGTTGGGTTTTGTATATATAGGGTTTTGCGATCTGAGGAGTGCATGTCCTGGGATGGGTCAGCTTCTGCTATTATAGGGTTGAGCTGTTTTTTGATTCAGGTCAAGAGGGCTTCAGGGTTCCAGGGTGTGGGGTTCATTATACAGTTGAAAGATTTCGGGTTTGTGAAGGCTTATGTGCGATATGCCTAAATAGCGAATCCACTAAACACAGTATATAATGTACCTAGCCTGATTTTGCAGTCAGGACAAAGCATGGGAATCTAGACAAAAGAAGGTTCGGGCAGCATTGATATAGTTCGCTGAAGGACAAGTGGTGCCTGCTTCGAACTCTTATGTAAGTAAGGGCTGCTTGGATCCACATCCCTAAACCCTAAGCCCGAATCATACATGATTATATATATATATATATATAATCCCCTGGACCAGGTATCCACTATGTAGGTCCACGGTTTTGACTAGATATATATAGTTGCAAGCCGTCACACACACCCACACCGAAACTACACCGAAGCCGGCAAGACCCTGTAAACCCCAATCCTTGAACCCTACATGACCCTATAAGACCATCAACCCGAAAAAAACCCTGAACCTTCAACCCCAAATTTCCATAACAAGCACAACTGTGCGGGTTCGGGGTTCGGGGGAATGGGGGGGGCTTTTTGTAAGGGTTTAAGGGATTATAGGGTTCAAGGTTTAGGGTTTATCGCGGGTTCGGGGTTTGGGGGAACCGGGTGGGTTATAAGGGTTTCGGCGCTCACACTCGGACAATCACCCTTAAGGGTTTAGGGTTCAGGGGCTTAGGGTGTATTTTAGAGTGTATAGGGCTTCGGGGTGAAACCCTATCAAAAAACCCAAAATCCTATATAAGCCCCAAACCCTGAAACCCTAAGCCCGAAACTCGTTTGAACCCTGAACCCTGAACCCTAAACTCTGAACCCCAAACCCTGAAACCCTAAGCCCGAAACTCGTTTGAACCCTGAACCCTGGACCCTAAACTCTGAACCCCAAACCCTGAAACCCTAAGCCCGAAACTCGTTTGAACCCTGAACCCTGAACCCTAAACTCTGAACCCCAAACCCTGAAACCCTAAGCCCGAAACTCGTTTGAACCCTGAACCCTGAACCCTAAACTCTGAACCCCAAACCCTTTTCAACCCTTCTAAACCCTAAACTCTGTATACACCGTAAACCATGAACCCTGAACCCTCAACCCTAACTCGGAACCCTACACCCTTAAACCCTGATAAACCCTAGACTCGTGTAAACCCTATATAGACCTGAACCCTGGACCCTCAAGCCTAAACTCTGAACCCCAAGCCCCTATATATATATATATATATATATATATTTATTTATTTATTATCCTTGATAAACCCGAAACCCTTTTGTAACCAAAACCTTAAACCCTGAACCCCCAACCCTAAACCCTATAATAAACACTATACACCTTTGCCCTCTCTCCCCAACCCCTGACCCTGGTACCTTGATTTCGGGCACGACATCTGTGAAGACCTGCATCGAAGAGGGGCTTTGTGGCATGATCAAGATGGTCGGTTACAGATGGGATGGTTTGGGGATGCGACCAACATGATAGACCTGAATGGATGTTTTTTGGGCTAGGCTTTGGAGCTCAAGCTTGATGGTTTGTTGGAGATCAGTTTTCGGGGATCGGATTTTGGGTTGTGTAGGCTTTAGAGGCTGGGCATGGGGTGAATCTACAGTACACTATAGTAGATTTTGTAAATGAGAGGTGTATGTATGCTTTCGGGTTCCGGTGCAAAAGCAAACAACAATCACTCTCTCGGTCAACCTTCGTTCTCGCTCTCGCTCGTGGTGGCACGAGGCCGGTATGCTGGGCTCTGCAAGCATCCTGTGGGCACGAATCTGCATGGTGGCCCCAAAACGGATGCATGGAGAACCTGTGCAGAAATCTGACTTGGCACTCGAGGTGTGGGCAGCTTATGAAGCAAGTTTTAAGGTTGGGGCCTTAAGGTTGGGGCCGTGTAAACGGAGTCTGGGTTCGCCCTCCCTCTCGGTGTGCCGGTTGCTGTCGCCTAAGCTCATGCCCTTCGGGTCTTGGCTTCGGCCTTGGCCTTCTGAAAAGTGATGTTGAAGGCCTCGACGTCCATCGCCACTCGTTTCATGAATGGCAGAAAATTGTCCTTCGTAACAGCTGTTCCGTCCGAGAAGGATTGCAGATCATTCATGTGGCTCATTTCGTTGGAGTGCTGCAATGCCTTGGAGTAGCCCTTCTTCATCTCAGCCAGCATGTCGGCATCTCCCTTCCAGCTGTTGATGAGGGCCCTGGCGTCTTTGCTCAGCTTCTCCAAAGCGCTTCGGGCCTGGTCCAGGAGGTGTGCTGCATTGCTGGACCAACCATCCTTGCCGATCACTTCGTCGTTGGAGTAGACATCAAACGACCAATTGAGACTCTTGAAAGCAGCCCTCAATGCACTCAGGTCGCTGCCGCTGAGCTTTCGCGATCCGCTTGTACTGTGCGAAGACGTCTTGCCGTCCTCTTGACCAACGACGAACTTCCGAAAGGCCCAGAACTGAACATCGGTTCCGCCGTCGTTCTCGGTCTTGACTTTGATGATCTCCCCCTTTTCGGCCGCCCTGTCGAACCGCTGCTGGTTGCCCTGAAAATAAAGTCCGAGCATCAAGCTTTCTGCCATCGCCTCCTCCTCCGACTTGCGGTACTTGCGGCTGTAAATCTGGCAGGGGATGGCAGGGATGGTAAAGTTTACCCGGGAGAGAGGTAGGTCGTGAGATAAGAACGACAGGGGATACACATCATAAAAGTCGCTATACATGGACTCCTTATGTAAAAAAATCGTATATTGATAATATATATATATAGATATATATATATATATAGATATAGATAAGGACATAGATATAGATATATACAAAGCCAACACACCTCGGAATCCTTCCTCGGCCATACATTCGATTTACAGAACATGTATGCATCTAAACAAAAAGTTCCTATCTCTATGTGTCTGTTTAAGTGTGTATCCATATTCGGATATATATGAATAAACACACAAACATGTATGTACACATGTATATATAGAGATGTATATATGTATGTATGTATATGTGTATGTATGTGTGTATGTATGTGTGTCTTTGTCTCTCCCTCTGTGTGAAAGCAAGTAGCTTTAGGCAGTTTGGGGTTTGGGTTTAAGGTTTCAGGCTTAGCCTTATCTATACGATTGCTTTTGGGATGCTCGGGTTTGGGATTCATCTAGAGACCACAAAAGAACTTAACCAAAGAAGCCATCCACCGGAAAACATACCACACAACCAACCCAAGTCGCCTTCTGGGCTTCTGTGAACACCGGCTGGTCCAGCTGAAGGGAGAGCGAGCCGTCGGCTTCTCGCCGATACATCTTGTTAATCAGGTCAGACTTCATCTGACGAGGCGAACTGCTCTTTTTGGACTGTTGCTCTACGAGGTCCACCAGCCATGCCGGGAGTTCATCTTTCATCTTGTTGTATTTTACCGCTTTCCCCTTGTCTCGCCCAGTCGCATCGGTCTGATTGTCCTTCTCTTCTTCGTTCTTCATCTCGCACTGAACCTGGCTGACAAGGCTAAGCGAGGGCTTCTTCTGAACTGCAAGGGCGGCCGGCTTCTTCAGGACAAGGCTTTTCCCAGTCGGTTTGTCACCCTTGTCCTTGAGCGCCTTGGACATACTGGGAGCCATTGCACCAGGAGCACCCACAGTCAAAAGATCAGGAACCTGCACGGTCCAGCCACAAAAGAATGATCTGCGGCAAGGAAACACAATGGAAGTTCACTCGAAGTTTCCACCAAACTTCTACACCCCTAATGGAAGTTTAGTGGAAGTTTCCTGGAAACTTCCACTGCACAAGTGTGGAAGTTTGATCGAAGTTTGGGTGAAGTTTGCTAGAAGTTTGGTGGAAGTTTAGCTTACTTCAAAGGCTAAAATGCAACACCTCTCGAATAATATCACACAGCCACACCCTGAAACTTCGATTGAAACTTCCACTGGGGGGTGTGGAAGTTTAGTGGAAACTTCCAGTGAACTTCCACTAAACTTCCACACCCGAACCCGAACCCCTAAGCCATGAACCCTAAAAAACCGAAACCCTTAACCCTAAACCTTAAATACCGTAAACCCAAATTCGAGCCCACCAAACCCTAAACCCTTAAAACCTAAACCGAAAAACCCGAAGTCGTGAAACCTTACATCCCAAAAACCGTAAACCCAAACCCGATCCCCCACACCCTAAACCCTAATAAGCTAAACCCTAAAACCTTAAATTCTAATAACCCAAACCCAAACACAAACCCCTCAAACCCTAAATCCTCAACAGCCAAAACCCGAAATCTTGAAACCTTACATCACAAAAAACCTTAAACCCAAACCCGACCCCCAAACCCTAGACCCTAATAACCTAAGCCTTAAAACCTTAAATCTTAAAAACCGTAAGCCCAAACCCGAACCCCCAAACCGTAGACCCTAATAACCTAAACCCTAAAACCTTAAATCTTAAAAACCGTAAATTCAAACCCGAACACCCAAACCCTAGACCCTGATAACCTAAACCCTAAAACTTTAAATCTTAAAAACCGTAAACCCAAACCCGAACCCCCAAACCCTAAAACCCTAAATGCTATAAACGTTAAACCCGAAAAGCAAACCCCCTCTCCCGGCCCGGGAGAAGGGGTTTGCTTTGAGGCATTCTTGGGGCCAAACTCGAACCCCCACAAAACCTAAACCCGAGAACCTAAACCCTAAAACCTTAAATCTTAAAAACCGTAAATTCCAACCCGAACACCCAAACCCTAGGCCCTGATAACCTAAACCCTAAAACTTTAAATCTAAAAAACCGCAAACCCAAACCCGAACCCCCAAACCCTAAAACCCTAAATGCTATAAACGTTAAACCCGAAAAGCAAACCCCCTCTCCCGGCCCGGGAGAAGGGGTTTGCTTTGAGGCATTCTTGGGGCCAAACTCGAACCCCCACAAAACCTAAACCCCATAACCTAAACCCTAAAACCTTGAATCTTGAAACGGCAAACCCAAACCTGAACCCAGGAAACCTAGCCTAAAACCCTAAATCCTGGAAACCGTAAACCCAAACCCCAACCCCACAAACCCCAAAGACTAAAGACTTAAACCTAAAACACCAGATCCGAAAAACCGTAAACCCAAGCCCGAACCCCAAAGCCCAAAAAGCTTAGACCTTAAAACCCGAACTCCGAAAAACCGTAAACCCCAAACCCCCGAACCTTGCCGGTGTTGGCATCGATCACATCGCAAATCTTCTCTGGCTCCACCTGGCATCCAGATGCCATATCCTAAACCCTAAAACCCTAGATCCAAAACACCGCAAACCCGAACCCCAACCCCCAAACCCTGACAACCTAAACCGTAAAGGCCTTAATCCTAAAAACCGTAAACACCAACTCGAACCCCGAAAACCTAAACCCGATAATAATCTAAACCTTAAAACCCTCAATCTTCTACAAACGGCAGCTCAACCCGAGCCCCCAAGCCCCAAACCCTAGAATATAACCTAAACCAACAAGCTCTAAATCCCAGCACCCCCGCAAACCCAAACCCCCAAATCAATCCCAAAAACCGAAAACCCTAAAACCCTAAACCCAAGCCCGAACCCCCAAACACGAAAAACACTATAACCCGATCTTTTCGAAAACCAAGACACTTGATCTTTGGGCTTTCACATTCAGGCATGAGTTTAAGATTCTTATGGTTTCTAGGGTTTAATGGCGGGGGCTTTAGTCTTATGATGTGTATGTAGACATACAGACATAGATGTATATTTTCAAAGCAGGTATATTTGTGTGGTGTGTAATGCATGCAAGAAACGGGTCCGGCTTTTATGGCTGGGTGTATTGCACATATACAGGGATCAGCACTTCGCTAAACATATCACCCAATTAGTGCCACATGTCCCCGAGGTTTCACATATATAGCTAGGCCGAGCTGCCTAAACAAACCACGGCTGGAACCTGGCCTCTTCTGCGATGGCTGCGATAGAAGCCAAACTCCCAACCTGCCACAGTGATTGTTCTCATTGTGGGTTATACAAACGGGTTCAAGGCTCTTGTTGTTTTTCGGGTAGGGTCGAATTCCCACGGTTTAATGTTTGGGGTTCGAATGGATGTTTTTTGAAACAGAAAGCTTCGTCGGGCCCTGCTTTCGAAAATCTGCAAATCGCTTAAGTCGTCAAGGCACCCACTAAACCAGGATAGGTTCGCATATATGAGAATGAAGCTTGAAACGGACCTCTCACAACGACAATCTTCGATCACACGTCTTTTTGCCAAAGCCATATAGCAGCCGTCTCAACACGAGGCCAAACTTCTGTGCCAGCGACATCATGACCAGCCCAGCCCAGCTTGATCATTGTGTGTGGATACAGATATGCAGAAAACCTTGCCACCAAAGCTTGCCGTGCTCGAAAAACCCATTGCAACATATATGCTCATATATAGTCCAGCCATGCAGAAAAGGACAAAAGCTCAATCCCCTGCTGGCGAAGTCGGCGATCCTGAACTCGACGATCCTGAGCTCGGCGATCGTGACCTCGGCGATCGTGACCTCTTCGGCGATCGTGACCTCTTCGGCGATCGTGACCTCTTTCGCGATCGTGACCTCGGCGATCGTGACCTCTTCGGCGATCGTGACCTCGTCGGCGATCGTGACCTCTTCGGCGATCGTGACCTCGTAGGCGATCGTGACTTCTTCGGCGATCGTGACCTCGTAGGCGATCGTGACTTCTTCGGCGATCGTTTCGGCGATCGCGACCTCTTCGCCGATTCTGGCCTCTCCGGCTTCGCAGAAACCACATCCTCCACCAATGGGCCAGCAGCCTCCTCTGGATCGCCGTAGGCAACCATTGCAGCGATCTGCTGCAACTGCGACATTCTGGGGATTGCCTTCTCGCAATGCAATGCCCGGCCCGCCACCCCAGAAACGAAGGATCCACTTAATCCAACGATCAACCGTTCTTGCTCGGCTTCGGATTGCACAGAAATGAATGCAGAGCAGGTGGCAGTAGGAGAGTAACGGCCCTTTCGCACGATTTGTATGTTCTCGGCTTTGGTTCGAGGAACATATCGCTGCACCAGTGAAAGCAGCTCCCATTGTGTTATGCGGAATTGCAAGCCAGCCACATAGACTCGAAGGGATGCCATGAACCCTTTTTAGGTATACACCTGCACCCCAGATTGGCCTTGTTTTAAGTTCCACACACATCACCTTTATGTATAAAGCATATAAGTTTATGTGTGTCTATATATATATATATATGCATATAGAGGCCAAGTCTTGGAGATCAGGCATACACATGTGCTAAGGCTTTGTGTGTGTGTGTGTGTATAGAAAAGGGATCAAAAAGGATGTACCCAGGTCGACAGTTATATATAGAGGGTCCAGGGTTACAGATTATAGAGTTAGGAGGGTGTTGGGGTTTGGGGTGGTCGCACGAAGATCCGAGGAGGCGGGGTCTATAGAGGTTTGTGCACTTACGACGGTGTTTGGGTTTGGGATGCTCGCATGCTGCCTGTGTGCACTCGGTCCACTGAAGCACAAATGGGAGCACATGTCGAGGGTTCAGGGAAGACAAGGGTTTAGTTAGGGCTTATTAGCTTTGCAGTTTTTTATATACAGGGTTTTTTCGCTTACACTCGGACAGGGTTTAAGTTTAAGGGTTTAGGGTGTAGGTTGGAGGGTTGAGGGTTCAGGGATTAGGGTTTGGAGCTTACACAAGGGTTTAGGTTTCATTATATATATGTATATATATATATATATATATATACATATACATATAGGGTTTAAGGCTAAGGGGTTTTAAGGTTTAAACCCTGTATACTAAGCCCGAAATCCTAAAACCCGAATAAAGCCTTAAAAAAACACTTGTAAGCCGTAACCCCTATATATATATATATATATATATAAACCTTGAACCCTCAACCCGCCAACTGAAATCCTGAACCCTAAACCCTTAACCCCATAATGCACCCTAACCCTGAACCCTCGACCCTGAACCCTGAACCCTGAACCCTAAACCCTGAACCCTCAACCCTGAACCCTAATAAACCCTAAAACCTCAAACCATAATAGACCCTAACCCTGAACCCTCAACCTTGAACCGTAGCCTTATAATCAACCCTAAACTCTTATAAACCCTAAAAAACCTAAACCCTTCCGCCCCCTCCCTTTGCCCATGAAACGTTTCAGGATGCCACTGTGAAAGGACAATATCCCTGAATCTTTCGAAACACCCAACCCTGACAAACCCCAGACAAAGAGGGGCAGGCCTCCCCCGCACACGTGTCCAGCCGCCCACATCTCATCGTGCACCTGGCTGCTGTGGGTTCGGGGTTTAGGGCTTAGGGGTGCTATATTTTTTTTAAGGATAGTGAAAAGCTTGCCAAAACGGGGTGCAAAGCAGTACTCGGGAGTTTCTGGGTTTTGGGCTGTGGGGCTTCGGAGCTTTGGGTCTATGAGTATATGGGATTGTGGAAGGTATATAGACTCATATTTCTGGTCTTTTGGGGTATCTATGGTTTTGGAGCTTGGAACCTCGGGGCTTCGAGATCTGAAGGTGCACATATATATATATATATGTATATAAAGGAAACGAGAAAAGCGCCAATTTCCGGACCCTCTATATATAAACCTCAACCTTCACCCAAAGCCCTTCCCC